CTGTATGTGTGGTTAGTGTATTTTCGACAGAAAATAAAATTTTGAATTCCTATCAATGTACTTTGATATCAAAAATCTAGGTATGCAAAGGATATCTCACTTTATAGATAAGATTCTTAACTGATGGGAAATACCTGGTATTCTTTTTGTTGTAACCTTTGACAGAGACTAACAGGAAATCTAGCCTCGATAGATAAGATCTTCCTATTTATACATTTTAATTGCATCACTTTTTTAAGTGGCTTCCTTGCTAATGGCAATTTATTTGAATTAGTATAACACCTTTAAAATAAATTCTATATACAGGGTATGCCATTTAACACTTTCGTTGCCAATATCTCCAAAATGAAGAAATTTATTTTAGTTCCGGAAACTGGGGTTGTTAGGTCCCTTGAATAGCTTCAAATTGGAGTTAGAATTGTTAGTTCAAATCTTTCTGTATAGATGGCGTGGCGATACTAAAATTTTTTTTGAATCCTGGAACGTGGAAATGCGGTCCATCTGAAAGATCGTTAAATTTTGAGTTATTTTTGTAATATAAAGTTTTTCCCAGTATTTACTTGTTTTCGAAATATGTCGACTTCAATATGCAATGTATGATGTAACAGAAAAATCTATTATTTTATTTAAATCACACTAGGACAAAATATTCTATTGAAAATATTTTATTCACACCTCATACTAACTAACAAACAATAAATTATAAAAAAACAGTTGATCAACTACAGAAAAAGTAACAGAACAGTATTTAAAATAACGGAGATGTAGATGTAGTTACTAAAGTAAGTTAAAACAAAGATAAATGTTCAAAATTACGTCCTTCAGCATTAATATACAATGTTAGTCATCTCGTTAGTTCGACATTACAGGCTCTTAATAAAATGCCATGATCTAAAGCCGCCGTAACTGCTAAAATTTTATTTATATAGGGTCCTGATATACAGTGTTTCTTAAATGACCCATAGAAAAAAATTCAATGGGTTCAAATCTGGTGAACGAGCTGGCCACCTTGTAACACCATTAGTACCTAACCACCTTCCCGGAAACCTCTGATTTAAGAAGTATTCTTGCACACTATTAGTATTGAGGGAGGGCGTTTCATGAATAAAGCCATTATAACAACATTTTAAAGAATATTTTGCCTCGGTGTGATTTAAATAAAATAATAAATTTTTCTGTTACATCATACATTGCATATTGAAGTCGATCTGTCAAACAACAAATTATTTAGTATCGCGACGCCATCTATACAGAAAAATATGAACTAACAATTGTAACTGCAATACGAAGCTGTTCAAGAGATCTAACAACCCCAGTCTCTGGAACTAAAATAAATTCCTTAATTTTGGAGATATTGGCAGCGGGAGTGTTAAATGGCACACCCTGTATATTTTCAAAAATATCTATACTTTGTTAAACATATTTTAAGGCTACGAAATCTCGATCCGATTTATATTGAATCCAGAAAGTGCAAGAATTGTTTCCGAATGATTTGGTTAAACGAGTGAATTTCCGTCAGTTTATTTTACATCAAGGCATTAATTTTTAAAAGAAAATTCTCTTTACTGATGATGATCGGTATTTAATTTCTATAACTTATCTGTGCAAATTGTATGTTGTTTAAGTTGTTTAGTTGTTTGTTTTTCTATTAAATTATTCTCATTCCAGCTTTTTCCTGATTATCAAGCTTGACGTTTAAATTCATAGCCAATTCTTTTGAATTTTCCATGATTTTAAATAACAGCTACAATACGTATTATTAGTTATTCGTGTTTTTGTTGAAAACGACAAAGTTTTTTGAAAACTAACGAGTAAGAAAAGTTTTAGAATTAAATTCCCCATAAAATAAAGTAATGATTTTTTAAGTACGCCAACGGGTTAAAAAATTCTGTCACATTTTAATGGTGCATCATCACTCAGCAACCCTTTACAATGGTTCAATTGAACTCTACTCACTGTCGATTAACGCTCTTGATGCACTCGCATTGTGTATCAAATTTGGTTTTTCTAAGTTCAAGTATAACTGAGATATTTGTTGGTTTTTATGCGAAACATCCTGTATATTATCGTAGTACAAAGTCCTGAACGTTACAAAATAGTTTAATCGACAGTCTAATCATTATCAAATACTATTTTTATCCACAAAAAACGCGAGAGGTCAACGATTTCTAGCTTGTTTAATATCCGAGGTTATTTGACCTTTAAATTTCGCCACATATGGAAGCAATAACTAACGTATCTCATCATTTCGTTAGTTTTGTTTTAATAGGCTGTATTTATTCTCTTTTAACGGACCAATAGCTAAGAATTTTTAATCTTCAGAATCAGATAATAAAAAACGAAACATCTCGTTGAGAAATATGTTTTTAGTTTTTCTTTTTTCAAAATTTTTATTGTGGTCAGAGTCAAGACCGGCCCTGTAAAGAATTTTTATACGAACAGCTGTTGCTTGCGCACGAGCAAATGGTGCGATCTTCTTTGCACGCGACGTTGCCACGTCTAGACCGATAGGATTAAAAATAAGTAAAATCTATAAAAAGCAACAAAACTGAAACAGCGTTAAATCCTCACCAGGACATGTATGGTGTGAGTTACTTAAAATTTTAAGAATTATATGTAATTAATCATTCTAACTACACACCAGCATTAACGATTCTGTCAAAAAAATTTAATTTGTTGCCAAATTTTCAGAACAGTTTCGAGTTTCTTGCTCAAAAACCTATGTTAAAAATATGTATGTACTTAGATGTTAAAAAAATATTAATATAAAAAGAAAGTAGTCTAACATTTTGATGAGAGGAAATTACATTTACATAAGAACAATATTTATTAACGAAGATAATTCACGTTACTTAATGTATTCGAAGGCATTAGCTCTAATTGTGATGTTATTTTCAGCTTATTTTATTAATAATAATCATGACAGCAATACATTCGTCATATCAGATATGTCTCATATTACAAACACCCTAAGTGAACTAAGTTCCCATATTTATTTAGTCATACCCATATACAGGTCTGGTTGAACTAAAGGTGGAGGTGGTAGAAATGTATACACCCAATTGAAGAATGCGCGCGCGGGCAAACGGCGCACAAACAGCCGCATTGGGCGACCGGCCATACATTTCAGTTGTTGACAAATTGCCTAGCAGTGCAGTGCAGCAATGCCGAGCAGTAATATATTTTAATGAAACTGTAAATGTTTTTTGATATATCATAATCGAAATTTATCAACATAATAAAATTGTTTGAGGGCATAAATAATTAAAATAAGTTGTTGGCCAAAACTTCTTCGGAGACACCCATGAAACTCATTCAATTTTATTGCTAGGCGTTTTTATACATGTTCAATTGATTTCGGAAAGACCATAATACCAACTCATTTATTATCAAAGACGTCAAAATCAGAAATCAAATTATCTGACAGCAGATAGAACTTTAACCTAAAATATTATGACGTAATTATACCTTTGTTAAACAACACTTTGGATTTATTTTAATCCTATCTCCTTATAGTCCAATCGCCCTAGTCAAAATTGTATTTAAAGATGGCATTAATTCAGAAGTACACAATTTTTTACACGTGGCTAGTTTTTTGCTAGTACATGAGGAAAAAATTGTTCTGCACTAGAATAAATTATTTTTACCTGTAAAATAAGCACATAGAAGGAAAGTGTAGGGCATTCCCTTTCGAACAAACTTTGTTTCATGGATTTTCATCAAGAAACGAAAGAGTAATCGCACATTTAGCTCCGCCTTGAAGTAAGTACATGTTTTTCTGGCTGATTTGCATAAGAATCGTCATTTTATGTAAATCCCTAAATATCTCCTAAATAACGCACTGTACAAAAGAAAAAATTAATATGGACCTTTTTTGTAGAGAATTTTATGCTCTCAAACTTTGATCCTTTGCGTGTTTGCGAAATTCTCAATACTTTTCCAGTTATTCACGAAACACTTGCAGTTTTTTCGACCATTTCCCGAATTTTCCCGGTTCGCTCCCGTGCAGAACAATTTTTTCCCTCAACTATTAGCAAAAAACCTCTAACAACTGGACTATTACAAAAAAAAACTGATATATTTTAGAACGCCCAAATTTGTTTTGCCATCTTGCTTTTTCCCGTCACGTGGCAACGTCGCCGACGTTTTCTCGCCCGCGCCGATCGCACACTCGAATAAATAGATGGCCGTGGTGGGCTAATTAAATCCGTCGTGCTGTTGGACTCGCGTCTGTGATATTTCGGTGGTCGTTTCAGTCGCCGCTCGTTGCCAGGACGAACCACGCTTAAAAACGTCAAATTACCGGAAAATGAACAGTTTGCCGGGGGTGCAGTGTCCAGTGGGTTTGAAAACGTTTTGGTTTTGTTTCGAGGTTGAGTAGGGAGGTGGGTAATCTTTCTTTTGCCAACAGGTTTTTTTGCATTTCATGCGAGTGACATTCTAGAGACGGCTGCGGGTTATTTTTAAACCATCTCTGCCTACCACCTTGCTCGCGGTGGTGCGTTTTCAATAAATGCATGTCGCGTTAACACGCCGGACGAGAAAGGCTTTCACATTTAATACCACAACTTAGAGATTAAATATTTCTTTTTTAGTTGTATTTTTTTAAATATGTAGTCCTAGACAGAGATAAGATATTAATTTAAATGAAATGAACGAAATTTGTAACAGAAAAACTGATATGAAAATACGAGGAACTTGAACAGAATAAAAAATTACGAAAATATTGCGATATTTACATTTTTAAATGCGACTGTCACTCTTAGTATAGTCCGAGTTATTTCTCGCAGTCCAAGACTCCCTGCAGCGGCGCCGCTGTGTTGGCAACGGATTCAAATCGAAAATATTTATATTCGGCAAAAATGAGCGGTTGGGTGTACAGTAGGTGTAAAAATCTAACCATATAACCGCAACCTATCCCGAAAACGTGTCATTATCTATTAATATCCATTATGCTAATGTGATTACTAGGAATCCTTTTATTCGACTGAAATTAGATAAGAGATCGTGACCTCGTTTTCAAGAAAATACCAAAGCTTATTCCTCTTTTCCCGCGAAAGGCCTCCTGGTTGTCCGATCGGTTCGAATATCCCAAACCGCAGCGATTAAGCCTATGCTGCTTGTATAGTGATTGAGGTCGATTTCTCATCACCTCCATAGACGTAACAAGAAGTTATACTACGCGGTACAAGAAGTAGCGATTCGAAAGAGGGTACATCTATTTCTGTTGGATCCGTAGAGTGAGTTTTAATACGATAACGACTAATTAAATGGTTATTTTAATTTTATTTCTTACTAACGCTACTTATTAACGCTATAGCTAAAATTTAACTAAATACCTAATACGGTTAACGCGCGTTTCGATTATCAAGACACCAACGTCGATGAAGAACATCCTAATCGTCTCTAAAACGATAGACGTCTTTCTATACAAGTGGATGCTTTTGGGATATTACCAATGGGTCGTGAATTTTAATTTTGGACCATTTAGAGATACATTACAAATTATTCAACCTCAACTCCTAGTCACATGTTGTGCAAGGAGTTCATGATGTCCAAGTCCTTTGTAGTCGAAGAAATCAGTCAACATCATCGTGACATTCGATTTTGATTGACGTGCTTTCTTGGATCTCGGAGAACGTCTGCTTTTCCATTGTGATGGCTAGGGTTTAGTCTCCATGTTTCTTCCAAGGTTGGCATGATATATGTCAATGATATATATCCGATATCTATCACGATATTTATTCCTTGATATATATCATGATATTTATAAAAATTTAAATAATGATTCCTACTGGTTTAAAGTTGCTAAAACAGATGGCAGCAAAACCATATGCTAATCGTTGACGAACGTGTTTATTTATGTAATTGCCCGAATTTTTCAACAAAGTAAAGTTGAATGAATATTTTTATTTCATTATTTCTACAGGTGTTAGTCAATTCGAGCAGGTGCTGTGTGTTTGTATTTCTTTTAATATTTATGAAATTTATTTTGACTTTGGTGTAAATTGGTTAGTACCTAATATTCACGCAAATATTTTTTATTAGTATCAGAATTTATATTTATTTTTTCGTTCTTGCTTTTGATATTTGGAATAAAAATATTTACCTAAATAGTTTCTTAATTTTATTTCGCTACTATGATATTATACATAAACTAATTAATTAAAAAAAATAAATATCAAGACTTGATATATATCGGACATATATCAATATATAGTATATCCGATATTTGATATTTATATAAATATCATGGTATTTGCCAACCTTGGTTTCTTCACCTATTATAATGCTTTTAAGGAGATCAGATTTCAATCTGATCCTTTGAAGAACTAATACGACTCATTCCTAGTTTTTTTTTTAAACAAAATTATAAAAAAATTATACGAGTACCTACTGATCACTTTTTCCAAAGAAATAATTGACTTTTGTTTTTAAATACGTTAGAAGACCTTACTTTTCAAAATATCGAAAGCATAATGATATTACAAAGGAAAACCTGAAAAATCAATAATTTTTTTTTTTTTTGGGTCTGGCGACAACTTTTGTTTACACCATTCGAAAGAGCGTACAAAAATAAGTTGACTTAAAAAAAGCATCCCGGTAGCTTCTTTCAAAGTGCCACAATCCATTGTTTAGAATTTTGAGAAGCCTAGCGCAGCAAGGGCACTATGACGTCACAGCGCTCCCCTCTCCTGGCTACCGCTCAGCCGTGTGGGCCACCGCGCGCTGTCTTTAACGCACGTTTACTTGGTAATTTCTTGGTCGAATCCGTTAAAAAAAATTCAGCGTATAAAGGAAGTCTTCTACTTTACAACGAGCCTGTGTATTACAAAATATTAAATAGAACAGGCAGAATACCGTTTTTAAGAAAAAAAATACCTATTTCGACTCCTATTGCTCGGATCGAGACGTTTTTTTTCAATTCATGTTTAAGCACTATTTGAATGTGATTGGTTTGAAATCTGTATATTAAAAAACCGCTGGGATAAGGACCCTATTTACCGTTTTTTTGTTAATAACTTTTTTATTTTGCAACTTAAAAATCTGAAATTTACGCAAACGCGAGACAATGTATTACCTTTCGATCCTTTTTTACCGAATTTTGATATCTTGACTTGGGCAGAAGATATACGCGCTCGCATTTTCGACTTTATAATTTCGCAGTAGGCCGCCATTTTGAAATTGGGAGTCCAGATTGCGGGTATTTGTTGAGCACCCCAATAGTTATCTTTTTCTGTAGTTTAATACATTTTCAGTCAAATTCGCTCTTTTTATTTAATGCTGAAAATTGTGTACATTTTTTCCTCAACCCCAATTTTTGCATTGAAAAAAAAATTTGCGAGCTTTGACAAAGGCCTATCCTTGTAGCAAATTTCCTCAGGAACAAAATCGATAAGTATAGCTTATGTCGATTACAGGCCTATTTTCGGAGATATAAGCGAAAAACTGAAAAAAGAGCAATTATTTCTTCTTTTGTTATAAACAATATGGCGTTCGACCTCTACAAATACACAAATTTAAGCTTTTATTCTGTATACTTTTTACTTAATTTTAAGCCCATAAAATTCGAGTTAGGCCTGATTTTTGAAACAGGCATGTGTTTGGTCTAATTCGCCCGGATTAAATGGGATCCTCGTCAGCCATCTCAATTTCGTTCCGTATCCACATGACGTTAGCAGAGACTTTCGTTTTGACACAAATATAGCTATATAATATATAGATATAAACAGATAATTTAAGTTAATCGTGATACGTGGTAAAACGTGTAATTTCCGCTTTTATATGCGAATGAATCGTATTTAAAAAGTCAGTTGAAGTGTGTAGAGCCTAAATGGAATGTAACCTTACATATTTTCCCAAGTTTGAAGAAATGTTACCTGTATTACATAATAAAATGAACGATGTGAAGATGTTTGGGCCGCAACAGCTTTGGATTACTAGCAAAAACGATAGAAAGTTGCGTTTTTGTGATTTCGACAGTCTTTCTCTCAAGTGACGTCACGATAATTGGTTGCCAGTCCTGATACCTTTTGATCAGAATGATGATGGGCAGAGGAAAAAATATTCGTTTAAGAATGCAGGACACTTATTTTTAGAAAGCACAAATATAATTATAACAATGTTTAGGTATATTGAATATTATAATAAACTTTCAATGCAATCTCGCCTAACACAACCGACAGAATTTGACTTCGTTTAACATGAGATGGTTGCATGGACGTAATATTGAAAAAGTTAGACGTAACATAGACCTGTGGGTATGGGATAACGCTAGTAACATCGCAATTGCTGTTAAAATAGAGTTATTTAGGAACTATCGCCTAATCAAGATACATAAATGATAATGTCTGCAAACCCGTGGAAAATTATTTATAATCCTAATTTATAATTAATGAGATAATATCTTGATGCAATCCTGTAATTATTTTCTAAGAAACGAACGTATATATATCAAAATGTCGTGCCGTGGATCAGGTACAATTAAATGAAAACAGTAGTTTCTTTTAATTTTAAATTACATTTGGCACGCACTCAATTTCCATCATTTGTAATTACACATTTTATGGAAAGATACTGTTTATGTCTTATCCCGTCAAATATCATTTTATTAATAGTTTACCTTGGAAACCCTAGACTGACACAGATAACACCACTAACACTTAAAATTAACGAATTTTTTAAAATTTAAATTGACGCAATAACGCAAATCGTACCACCATTGATTTCCTCGTAGTATTTTATTTATATTTTCAGTGACGTGTCTATTGCACCTACGCCACTGGACCGCGTCATTCATTTTTCTAGCCATTAATTTTATTATTTTGTTGTGCGGAACCTTACGTACCGTACATTATTTTTAACTGGGTCCTGTTTGTAATTCCTAGCTGTTTTCTTATAAAATTTCCAATGTACACTAATCAAGTAAAAATAGCGCGTCAAACAGTAAATACGTCCTAGGATTTACCGCGTGGTGTTGTGCAGATCCTTCTTTTGGAATTCCCTGACTTTTCTTGTTTTTTTCGTGATATTTTTAAGTAAAATAAAAATATAACTTTAAGCTTGAAGAAATAAATTTCGATATCACCAATGCGCGAAAGTATTACCTAATTCAAAAGTACAGTAAACATTTTTTAAAATTTTTTGTCTACAGGGTGGGCTATTAGTGCGAGAAAAATAAAATAACTCCCTTGTTATTCATAACATAGAAAAAAAAGTTTATATAAAAGTTGTACAGAGTTAAAAAACCTAAAGGACAAAATTAATTTGAAACACACAGGGCGATTAGTAAAAACCGGACACGCCAAATATTGTAGTTTTTAAATGGAACACCCTGTATATTTTTAAACATGGATTTCTGAGAAAATTCTGTATATGGTAATATAAACAGTTTAACATTTTGGTGCGGGGTTGCCAAGTTATGTTGAAAATTCTTCGAATTTTGGAAAAAATATGACCTCGAAGAAGTTGTATTAACGTTCAACTACTAACGCTTGGAGCAAAAATATTTGACCGAGTTATAGGCAAATGTTAGGCAAAGACTCCTATATTAGCTAATATCGATATTTTATACAGGGTATTTTATAATACGATCATTTTAAAAAAGTTCAAACTTGATTTTCTAAAATTTTTCAAATGGAACACTGTATTTTATTGTTCTATTTTAATCACATATCAGTCCACTTCAACATTTATTAAGTATGTTCTACACCTAAAGTTGTTAGTTTTTAAGATTAGCAACATTTCTGGAAAAAACTAATTTTTATTATATTCGGTCGCACGAAATGGTTTTGGAAAAAACTGTGACATTGGGTCAACTTGTTAGTTCATAATTTATATTTTGAGTTAATTTTATTAGTTAATATTTATTTGTGGTATTCTATAAAATAATAAAAATTTAGTTTTTTTCAGAAATGTTGCTANTATTCTATAAAATAATAAAAATTAAGTTTTTTTCAGAAATGTTGCTATATCTATCTAAAAACTAACAATTTTGGATATAGAACATGCTTAATAAAAGTTGAAGTGGACCGATATGTGAATAAAATAGAACAATAAAATATAGGGTGTTCCATTTGAAAAATTTTAGAAAATCAAGTTTGAACTTTCTTAAAATGATCGTATTAAAAAAATGCCTTGTATAAAGTATCGATATTAGCTAATATAGCTGTATAGCTATATAACTGTCTAATTATTTTGTTTCAAGTGTTAGTAGCTGCAAGTTAATACAACTTCTTCG